GTTTCACTTGGGGTTTCACCAGTGCAGCAGAAGAAAGCCAGGAAGTTAATTCAGTTCCTTGACATGTACAGGAGGGAGGATGATAACAGTTTATGCAGTTTCTGTTATGCCATTTCCCTCCCAACCCTCCCTCCCTCCCTCACTGGCTTGGTCTCTGGCATCTTTCAACGAGCTCCTCACTAGGTGGAATAACATTGCAGCTCTTTCTCATCTACAGGGCTCCAGCAAAATCCTCATCTTCCTTCTAACTGCCCACTGTCCTCCATATTTACCATGTGCTTCCTTACACTCACTTCTGACTCTCACATTTTGCAAGAAGTTTGCTGGTACTGATCTTCCTTTCTCATCCATTTCATTGCATGAGAGCTTTTTGTGGTTTATAAAGCCACAGGGACAGTTTTTGCTAAACACCTGGTAGGCTGAGGCAGGGAGGTTTCACTCACCACTTAGGGTCACTGGGCAAGAAACCGACGCGACTTGGGAAGAACAGAAAAACAATTTAATTTATTAACTGTTTACTAAACCCTTGGAGCCAGGGGTGGGGGTGAACCCATAGCAGTCACTTTCACTTACAGGAGCCACCACTGTAGCCAGCAGAGCTGGAGTCCAGGGAGACCTTTAGCAGCTACTTACAGGAGCCATTACTGTGGCCCCTCCCTGCTACCAGACAAAACCCACCACACAAAACCACAACAGAGCTCGGCTCAGTCAAGGCTGCACTTGTCCTTCAACAGGACAGTTCCCAGCTGCTCTTACATCCGATTATCACCTGAGCAATCTCAGGCAGATGTCAACTTCCCTCGGTTTTTCCCTGCCAGAGTTTGCTTGGGTACAGAAAGTTCAAAGCCACTGATTAATTAGTGAACACTTTGGAAACATAAACTTTTAAAGCAGGAAATTTGAAATTTTTCAGGACAGTATAGGCAGAGGCTGAAATAAACTGGAGAAGCTGAAACGTGCATAATACAAAACAGACAGCAACTGAGCTTTGAGAACACAGGGGGAAGAGAAAGGTCACTGACTCCAACTATGCAGCACAGACTCCCAGCTGCCCAATGCACACAGCACAGCATGTTGTGGTATCACAAGCCAGACAAGAGGGCTTAAGCAGCAGGCTGTTGCGCCCTGGATGGTGACTGTACCTTGCTGACCCTGAGCTGGTTTGTACAGTGCCATCCTGAGCATTTCCACATCCTTAGCACAGTTATTGCACAGCCTGAAAACTTCCCTCCTGCAAACAGAAACCTGCATGCCCTCTGTAGTTTGCCAGGATTGAGAAACTGTAGAAGTAAAAATGTCCCATCTACAAGAGAGCAAGAGTCAGTGTCAGCACATAGTTAGCTCTCAACAAGGCTAGATGAGTGCTTCCTCATTTCTGAATTCATACTCAACTAATAAAAATTAAAATAGCTTTCAGGGTGTGATGTCTGGGGGTGTAATGTTCCCATGATGCACTAAACAAACCACAGCCTAACAGCTGTGCTACAGGCAAAAGCACAGCCTGAGCAGGGCCAGTGTGCAGGCTCTGGAGAGGTATTTGCCCTCACCATGTCCTCTGTCGTATGTTTCACTAGCTCAAGATTCAGCTATCAGGAAGCTGAAGCTCAGTCATTTTTGCACCAGGCTTAGTTTTTCAATGTGTGCCTATTGCTGTTAGAAGTACTGGTGAACGTGTGTGGAGAGAAGTACTTCCCAGAGGAAGACACTCAGACAAATAATTTCAAACATGGTCATAAACTTTCCCCGCTAAGTGTTGCAGGAATTGAGGACTGCCTTACTCAGGAAAAGTTCACAGTCTGCTGTAGAGAATGGACTCAACTGAGACCTTCTAAGAGCTCCTGACTTCAAAGCCTTTGACTAAAATCCTAACAACGAAGTCCTGGGAGCAGAGCACAGGCTGCGTTTCTCCATGGAAGAGGTCTGCTGTCACAAACACTCTTACTTTAAGTCACACATCCTGGGGTTAGCTGAAACCAAACTATAAGGCAGATGATAATTTTTTTATTACCAACCAAGAAGAAAGTTTTCAGTTTCACCCGAAAAGGGAACTACATACACCTGGGGTTGTCTTCAGAGGAAGCATCAGTACATTTGCACTTGAGGTCATTCACAAAACTTGGTCTGTAGAATCACGATGGAAGAGGCCACCTATTCATTTTTTTCCCCACACAGAGGTAGGATCTGATACATTAATCCAAATACTTTTGCCATGAAACCAGCCTATCTTAAGTAGGTTCTTCCTTCACAAGAGCCAGAGTGACAGCAGATGGCTTGCCTTGGCAACTGCTCCGATGCTCACAAAGAAACAGCCTGACATTACCCAACTCTTGAGCTGACAGCTCACATCAGGTAGGGCTCCCATAACAGTAACAGAAGTCCAGAAATTCTGAATCTTTGTGTACCAAACTATTTGGGAAATGCTACAGCAGACTCCACAGCAAATTAGTTTGGTTTTATCTAATTTTCTCTCTCAACCAGATATTTTCTAGATATACTGAAGTCAGTCTGAGATCAATGTATGCCTGTTCAGAAAATAAGCTGATTTTTTTTTTTGTTACATAGAAACAACAATAAAAATCCAAAACATAATCTCCCATTCAAAACACCACTTACATAAAGCTAAAGTAGGTTTTTTTTTCCAGCATACTAACTTTCAGCAGAGATGACATCTCTGGAGAAGAACTCTACATCCAACTGTGAAAAGTCAAAAGGTAGTGCCTTACCCCAAAGAAGTTTTGCTATAGGTGTATGGCAGCCAGGCACATGAGACATACTTACCTGTCTGCTGAGACAGGCAGCATAGCATTACCAGTAAGACTCACCTCTGCCCCCTCCCAGGGTGGGCTCTGAGAAGTGCTGGGAAGATCCAGCACCCAGGTCCCCCGGGCAAAGCCCCAGGGTGCCAAGGGGCAGCATCTGTACACAGAGAGAACTAGCTCACCTGTGGAGAACCACTTGTTGAAGCGGAGGAGGAGAGCCATGTCAGCTTAATACAATTCATTGACTGCATCCGACATCAAAGAGAGTGGAGGCTGCTCTTTAGCTGACAAGGCTCTGCATTCAGGGCACCGCTGCTGCCAACAGATACACTTTCCCAGCATAAAAATCAGATTTTGAGTGCTTGCCTTTGACAAACACAGTTTCTCTCTATAGAGAGAAGCAGATGATCCAGAGTGGTTTCTAGCTGATCCATTCTCACAGCTGTCCCCCTCCCTTCACCTCAAATTCCCTTTGACTTTTAAGGCACCCAAAACAAGAAAAATGGGTGAAAGCCTCTCACTATTATTGATCCACTTGTCTATGTGGAACCTCTCACTACAGCCAGTCCATCTAATGAAGGACAGAGACACTCACACATCCCACTCCACCTGCAGCCCAGGAAGCAGTCATCTTTCTTCTGCCCCACATTGTGCTTTGTGCACTCAGAATGCGGCAAGCCAGAAGAGACTAGTGAGAGCTGTCTCCGGGAAGAGATTTCAGGATCAACATCCCTTTGTACTCTCACACGCTCATCAGCTACACTAGAACTTACTCCTACTCTGGCCTAAAATAACTGACAGTCCTCAGACACGTTAAGTAAAAAATTAACTCTAGTAATCCAGGGAGATGTTGTTTAAACCACCCTAACCTTGAATAGCATATTTAAAATCAATAAAATATTGGTGCCATGCTCTAGACCCAACTTTGGAGGAAAACAGTAACTTAACTTTTACTCTTGCCAGAGAGTTTCAGAAAAGCTAATTTAATCTCTGGTCAGTTTTATTTTTCAGAGTACAAAAGTTCAGATACTGTTTTCTGTCTTTTTCCATGCTTGAAAGCAAAGGAGTCAGCCTACTTTAGCCCTAGGTTATGCATTGGGAAAACAAGACCTTTCAGGAAGGTTTGAAAGGGAGATGCAAACTTAAGTTTATACAGGTTTTTAATAGGTGCTCTTGTAACCTGGTTACCTGAGAATGCCATCTTCAGCACAATCCCTAAGTCATCTTTTTTCAGGGGGACTGTTTTGGCCAAGATCGTGACTTTCAAAATTTATTTTTACTGTGATAAATTTGTCACCATGATTATTGCTGCTGTTATCCTGGCATAAAGCACCTTTATGCACACAACACCAAACACACTAGAAGACTGCACTGCCTCATTTATGCCACTAAATACAGATAAATCTTAATGTAAGATGCAACCACAGGACTCCAATCCTGCTAAGGCTGACAAAGAACACTATAACCCTAAGTATGGCAGTGTTATAAAAATATCACGACCAGCACAACTCTCCAGAGCTCTCCACCTTCATTTCAACAGAAACTATGAGAATGGAGTACCACACACTCCTCTGGAGTTTATGAAAGTTCAGACTCAATTAAAACTCAGTACATTGGACAGAATTCTGTAGTCTCCAGCTGTTAATACTTCTGCGCTAGTAAATCCTCTGTGCTTGTTATGAGGTGATCGCTTTCAGACTGGTTGGGTTATTTTTAAGGCCACCAATGCAATTCTCCAATTAATTTCTGACATTCCATCATAGGTAACAAGCTGATCTGTTGCCAGTATGGTTATCTCTCTGACTTTAGGCCCAGTGCTAGAGGATACATATTAGATCACCTTATTTTGGTTCTGGTTTGACAGAAACGTAAGCCTGAAGGAAAACGTAATTTTTCCATCAATTGGGGTCAATAAACTGCAGGGCACAATATTTACAGGCAGAATTTTAAAGATACTAATTTTTTATTTTCAGTTTGCATTCAAACCCAGGCACCTAAGATAACCTCCGTATTCAGAAGTTCTCCGAGTCACTGGCAATCTCTCCTGAATTAGGGAGCAATTGACCAGGCATAGAAAAATGGGCTTGCAAAACTTCCCAGTTTACAAGGGTTGTGCAATTTGCTTTGGTTTTCTATTTCAGTATAACATGTTACCAGTGTTAAAATAAGAATAAACAATATCATGGATCTCCCTCCTCCAAGCCCAGACCTGGAAGCGCAACTCCATAGCTGCTACCTTACCTTCTGAAATAGCCTTCTTGACAGCTGCAAGGTAAGCATCAGGCTCATCATCATTTGTGAGTTCTTGCCACTGAGACCAGTCCTTGAAAAAGGTCAAATAGTCATCACAGTCTGTAACACCGCAGAACAGTTTGACTACTTTGTACGGGGGCCATAAAGCTTCCTGAAGGCTCTGCAGGACAGGAGGGAGATAAAAACTCTGCACCAGCTCAGCAGATAGCAAAAGGATGATGCTCCGACTCCTGTTGAACAGGTCCAGCTCCTGGTGGGAGATGGCAGACTCGCCTTCCAGCTGGTAGCTCAGAATCCGATGCTTTCGAATGTGCCGAGTAAAGAGGAAGAGGTTCTGGAGGTACTGACACCATTCAGTGGCGTCACTTGCATACACAATCAGCACATCATATCCTCCAGGAGTTCCTGTACAGGTGCAAGATTTTCACAGGGAGGAGTATTAAATTCAAAGCAAGAACGGACCCACAGCTTTGCAGCTAAAAACCCACAGGGCTGTCCCTATATTTCATGTCAGAAGCTACAAAGCACTTCAAAAGAACAGTAGATACATCCAAAGCGAGGTGTTCACAGCCACAGAGCAATTCTAAGGGTGATGGAACTCCTACTTGCATTTACCCTACTAGAATTTAAGTATTTTTTTCATTCTCAAAAACCTTCCTATGAAGAAGAGGATTTCCTATGTAGTTTCAAGTGAAACAAACCACATGTGGAGATTTACAGATTTAAAACACGTTGATAGGAAGAAAACCCACAAAAACCCAACATCCATAACAAACTAGCTTGAAAAGAAGAGTGCACCTCTTCATGTGAAGTGAAATCATTTTAGGCATCTACAGGGTCTCTGCAACACAACTGCAGACCGTTACGTGCTGAAGTGGAGGACACACTAAACATAGCACACCCAAATTAAGAAAGGCCTTTATTTTAATGAGGTCCCACAACGCTTACAGGAAGTCACTATGGCTTCCATGGTGTTAGACATTTGCTCTCATTGCAGCAGAAAGCAAACTGCTTGCAAAGTATGCATGCAACTGAAGGGTACACCAGGCCCAGTGCTCGCAGGACAGCAACTCTATCATTCAGGCTTCAGACTCTTTGCAAGCCTGCGTGAGAGTCCTTCTCCCAGAACAGTCATACAAAGGTTTCCCAACCGTTTTGGCACAACAAACCCTCCCTTCAGAGGGAAAGAACTAACACAATAGTGGTGACCATAACACAGCCCAAAATACACTCACCAAAGTTGATCTTTTCCATAATTCCCTAGAGACAGCTCCTACCTACACACTCCTGCACTTCTGTGCTCTGGATTGAAAGCACTTTTAAGACTATTTCCAGCTTGCTAAGAAGATCACACGCAGATTGAGCCAACACGACATGATGCAGTGCTCTCCAACAAATCTCAAGAAAAATTTTAAGTCTAAATTTAGTTTTCCCATTCACCTGTGAAGAAGCTTACCCAAATTTGAAGATTACAGCTCTGGGCCCATGGTAAATTCTAGTGCTGTGCATTTCAAAACTTATTAGCATACTGTCATCTTCTAATTGCAGCTTGCCTCTTTAAAAGGTGTCAACATTTCCAACCCATCTCCATCCAGAAGCAAGCAAAAGCAGATTTTTCTAACTAAAATAGAAGGCAATGCCTAAAATTTGCCATGCCAAAAAAGCATCAGCAGAGAGTTAATTTACCAGAATTGAAGAAGACAGTTTTGTAGTAACCTTACTAAAACACAACCAAAAGTGAACAGCCTTCAAAACTCCATTCTGCTACCTTCCCCAGAAATACAGAATAAGAAATACAGGCTGAAGTGATGTCTAGGCTACAGTACTCCAGCTCTAAACCATACAATTACCATCTTTAAATCTCAGGACCGGTACAGTTGAGAAGTAAAGGGTGGAGATGTGCTCTGTGCTCAACCAACAGCATTATGGTTACCTGAATAAATCGAAAGTCTCTACCAGTGAAAGGATGATGTCCTAGCTATGGAGAACATGGACACTGCAGTTCAGCAGTATTCACTAGGACAGCTGCATGTCTCTGTGTGAAAACAGCTCCTGAGCCCCAGGTGAAGGCTTGTAGGAGACAGCACTCTCAATAGAGGGGATCCAGCTGACTCATAAAGCAGCCAAACAGACCCAAAGCCTTGAGACCTATAGGCTAAGAGTGAAGAACTGCTGTGAAAAAAATATGGCTTTTACACCAGTGAGAACACCACTATCACCAAAATATCACTCTGGCTGAACACCACCTTACAAAGACGACAGAATCACATGAGCAGAAACAGGAAAAGCAAGCAGAATTCAGGAGGTCAGCTGTTTTATTCTAGAAAGGGAGGAGTACCAGAGACTTCTGCTTCCAATGCCACGTGTTGATTTACATGCAGTACAGTGGGAAAGGGCAGCACAACCATCTGCCAAGAACAGAGCCCACGCACTGCAGCACAGCCAGCTGAGCCCAACCTCGTCAGATGGGGGGGACAAGGCAGCAACTCTCTGAGGTGTGCCCAGGGCTCATAAACTTCTCTGGAAGAAGTCTCACCTCTGGACTCTGGCGAAAGCACCAGCGGCCTCCAGGCATTTTAACATTCTGTAAAATGGAACACCTAATTCTACCATGCATTTTTAAAAAGAACACACAGCTTCCGCAACTAAACCTGTTAGCAAACAGGCCCTTCTCCAGTCTTTCAATGAAAGGAAGCAGCTGTGCTGTGCTCGGAGAGGATGCAGGGTGAGGGAGCCATTGATTTTAAACATGCATTGCGCTGCAGGGGCACTAAGTATCTGAGAAGCCTCCCTTCTCCAATATGTAGACAAAAGATGCAAACTTGACAGTCTGTCTGCAAGTTCTCTGACAGTGTTTATATCCCCAGAGACAACATCACCCAGAGCAGTGTAGCCTCTGCATCCAGTAGGAAGGAACTTCACCTAGTACTTAGCAAAGGTGCTGATTGCCTAGGTAGCACTTGCTCTACTAGCGCGTCATTCCCCTTAACGGAGCTGTACCAGCTCTCCCCAGGCCCTCTTTCCTCAACTCCTATGGCCTTTTACACTTCTAGGATAAACTGAGGAACAATGCTTTTAAAGGGAGAACTGAGAAATAAAATTACTGACTCCACGTTTAGAGCCAAGGAAACTCTCTATGTTCATAAGCAAAAATAGTGGAAGTAGGTCTTGAAGAGCTAAATAAGCTTAAGTCAGCAATGGAACTGTTTCAAAGAAAACAAAAATCTAGAAATAGTTTCAATTGCAACATCCCCTTTTAAAAGAAAAGTAACATGGGACTCGCTTACCTGGATCTACTATTTGTCTAACCAAATACCTCCCTTTGCTGCACCAACTATTTTCCAGTCCTCAGGGAAAAGTGTAATAAATGGAGAATACAGAATGTTTTGGGGAGTTTATTGCACAACTCTTCACATATCAGTTACAGAAAAACTCACAGAGCACATATCAAAGCATAATGTAAACTCTGCCTGCTGTACACATACAAGGAAATCCCTAGATGAACACAAAGCATTTTATTTCTTTAAACCCTGACCTTAGATGGATGCTTGGACAACGTGTTTGACAGGCTGGTTTTGGAAAACAAACATAAGGAAGCCTTCAATTCAAGTGAGAAAGCTATGAACGGTATATGCAATAGCAAGATGAAGAAAGATTTGTGCCAGCCAACCACTTCAAATTTTTTTCACGCTCTCAAGTGTAATCTAGCTTAAATGTTTACAATACCTTGTTTCTGCATTCCTAAACTTCGGTCATTAAAGTATCTTTTGCTTCTGTTTACAAAATGTCAGCACTATTGATAATATTGCAGGGCAAGTTTAACTATTTATTTCATAGAAAAACATCCAGGTACGGTTCTGTTGCAGTTTGCAATGATAAAACATAACCTTTGGACCCATTTCCAGATGTAACTGCCTCTTAGTGCTTAGTTGCACACTCCATTACACAGCAGTGATAAAAGACTGATGAGATTACAAACCAATACTATAGAAATGTCTCTAATTGAGGTGGCAGGCCCACAGACTAAATGGCACAGAGACAAAACATGATACAAAGCTTTCTCTAGCTTACAAACTGCATACAGAATGGAAGGGGATGAAGCAATTCAGTCAAAATTACAGAAGGCCCATAGCAACAGAATAAAAGTATCCTATAGTGATAGACTATATCATGCCTTCATAGTCCCTCTCAGGTAAAGCAAACAAATCAGGCTCATCTTCGGACCATGCTGGGAGTACCAAGGTGACAATCTTTGAGTTCAGAGTAAACATTGGATAACGGTTTATGGCCATATCATATGGTTCTGATTACCACTGAAATAGCTAAAGAATACTGCGGGAAGCTGGCATATCAGCTCTGGGTGAGACTACATCTTGCCCCCTTAACACTTTGCAATTTTGAATCAGATGTCATCAACTGTTATTACCTAGTATTTCATTCTACAAGCCAAAAGGTTTGACATTTTTCAGTTTACAGATCATAAATAGTTTTCCATTGTACTTGTGGGTCCCATAAACCAAATTCAGGACCTCTAATAATACACAGCTTTTCCATGTCACCTTTCACATCCTTCTCCGCAGGAGACCATGACTTCTCATTGTCCCCAGGCCAGGTAAAAAACTGACAGACAAAATCAGATGATCATACGCAGAGGCAAGCAAATCTATTTTCATCTGCTGAATCAAATCCACCTCAAATTCTGACTAACTGAAAAAGCGCTACATATCCTGTTATCAGTTTGTGTTGGGATTAATCTGTACAGAAGATACACAAATATGGCAATCCAAAATATCAATCCTCGATAGAGGGGGATCCACTTCCTATGAAAGACAATTGCCTATGATATAAATGAAACCCAACCCAAGGTGTCTTAATAAATTCTTAAGAAAGAGCACTTCCAAGAGGTGTTAGAAGCTGCTGGTGGGCCATTAACAGAAGTCCTCCGCACCCTCCGTATTTCAATGTCTGGTGTGTGTATTTAAGTGATGTATGAGGAAATGAATGCATTCTTTGCCTAGGTGGAATGCATAACAAAGTAATAGTGATCACATGCAATAATTATTAACATCCTAGCAGGACCTCTCACTTTGACTGGAATAGAAAACCTGTGATTTTAATAAAGTGCTGCAACCAAGCAAGAGAAAATAGCAGAATCAAAGTAGATAAATGTTTTGCGAACCAAACTTCAGTGATAGGAACATGAGATTTTCATTACGATCATAGAATCATAGAATGGTTTGGGTTGGAAGGCACCTTAAAGACCACGCAGTTCCAACCCCCCTGCCATGGGCAGGGACACCTCCCACTAGACCAGGTTGCTCAAAGCCTCATCCAGCCTGGCCTGGAACGCCCCCAGGGATGGGGCATCCCCAGCTTCCCTGGGCAACCTTTTCCAGTGTCTCACC